TACGACAGAGGCCGGCGCTGCCACCTGAGGTGACTGGGGAACCAGAGGTGGCTGGGGAACCAGAGGTGGCTGGGGAACTTTAACTGAAGGCGGATGAGGACAACCAGCCCCCGCCTATCCCGAAGCACTCGGACTCCCTCCTGCAGATGTCGTGGCAATCGATCCGTACTGGGCAACACGTGGCACCAAGTGGGGCGGACCTTCTCTTCCAGACCAATACGCTCCTAACACACCATAACCAATGCAAGAGGAGTCAGAAGAAGAAGTAACTTATTAATTCTTCAAGGGAGCAGCGGAATTACCGGAACCTATCGAGGGACCACCGCAGATTGAGGTCATCGGTGCAAAGTACAGTTAGTTTCGAATCCCCATGAAGGGACTCCCCGTCGCTGACTGGCCCAAGGCGCCACCATCTCAGTACTTGCTTGTCACCGGCGACCAAGTTTGCGCCGGCGACACCGAAGATATCATCGGAATTCCCCGCGCGCTTCAAGAATGGGATTTCATCCGGGCCTTTGCAGCGGACACCGACGCCACCACCGACACAAGAACTGGAAAGGAGCAGAACGACACAGCAGAGAGGAATAAATATTCTGAAAAGACTATCGGCTACTGTGCGGAACCGGAAACCTGGCATCAGCAGATCGGCCACCCCTCACACGCCACGCTAAAAAACTCTCTCCATGCTGGCGTCTTCGACGATGGAGCACTGCTTCTTCCTCGTGGAGGCTCCCTCACAGTGAAGTCAGAAGACCCACCATGCACCGTTTGCCCAGCCGCATCGCTCGCTCACAAACCTTTTCCCGACTTACCCCCCGGCTACGAACGCTACAAGCCGCTCGACAAAGTCTACATCGACTTTATGAACCTCAGCCAGGAAGGGCTCGACGGCGAAATCTACATGCTTACCTTCATTGACGCAAGCACCCAATACGTTTGGGCTGTCAACACCGACTGTCGCTCCTTGGCCTTTGATTGTTTCATCGCATAGATGAAGCGGGCTGTATGACAATCAGGATTGAAGCTGAAAAGTTACCACGCAGACGGAGCCCTAGAGTTCTTCTCAACCGAGTTCACGGAGCTCTTCAAGCATAAAGGGATTGAACACTTGGTGTCTCTGCCCTACGCTCACGAGCAGCAAGGAGTAGCAGAACGGACAAACAGGAGCCTTCTTACAAGGATGAGGGCCCTGATGAAGTATTCTGACATCCCAACCAAGTATTGGCTGTTTGTGATGAACCACGCTGTCCGACTGCACAACTTGCTGTCCTCCCGAAGCCTTGAGAACAACAACTCTCCATACAGGGCTTGGACGGGCAGAAAGGCAAACACGCGTCTGCTTCGGGTGTTCGGCTGCATAGTACAGTAGAGGCCCCACACAGCAAGGACCGTTTAATTTGCCTCAGAATCGAAAAAGAATACAAGGCGTGGATCGTGCTGGACTACACGACATACGAAATGACGAAATCACATGACTTCATCGTCTATGAGAAGCTGACTCTGCCACTGTTCAATGAACATCGCGAAGCTAACAGGGCGCCGGAAAGGGTTTTCAAGGGACACCGCAGCTTCGCAACTCCACACGATGAAGCTGACCTGGCAGAGGATGCCGACGTAGCAGCAGTCACTCAATTTGACAGCGCACCCAACATCCCCCTTACAAGCCCATTCCAGACTCCAACCTTCATACCTGTACATCAATTCGATCCTAACAATATGACTCGCGAAGCTCAAAACTTCAACAGCGAGGCACGCCGATCCCCGGATGCCGAGTTACCACCACCAAACACCTCGCAAGACACCCTCCGTCTCGGCAACGACAACGACGACGATGTAGTCGAAGTAAACGACTTCCATGACTACAATCGTCTGCACTACGAAAAGACCAACGAAACTGGTCTCCGCATTCTCGGACTCGCAGTCGTTGTTCGCCACGACTCCCCCAAGGAGCCCACCACTGCTCGCCAAGCTCTATCTGGCCTCGACAGTAAGAAATGGAAGGCAGCCATGGCCAAGGAAGTCGCGGCACTCAAGAACCGCGGAACATGGAAGCTGGTTTTTCAAACGTCAGCGAAGGGGAGAAATTTTCTGAGCGGAAAATGGGTCTTCTGCATCAAAACACTCGCGGATCGCTCTATTGACAAATACAAGGCAAGATGGGTGGTGCGCAGCTTTGAGCAAACTCACATGGTGGACTTTGACCAAACCTACGCACCTGTCGGACGAGACACCTCAGTACTCATCCTCATCTGCATCGCAGCCGTCAAACAGCATCCGCTCCGTCAGATCGACGTCGGCAGTGCATTCCTCTACGCTCCGGTCGACGCCATCATCTTCGTCGAACAACCGCATGCCTTCGAGGAAAACGACGGCGCCGTCTGCCTGCTTCAGAAATCCCTTTATGGGATCAAGCAAGCACCTCGCCTGTGGCAGCAGTATCTGCACACTGTTCTCACATAGCTTGGATTCAAACAGCTACCACACGACCTCGGGATGTACCGGAAGGAGTCGCATGGCAAATTCATTCTCCTCATCGCCTACGTCGATGTTCTACTTTACACCGGCGACAACATAGAGCTGTTGGACTAGTTTGAAGCAGACATCAAAGAGAAGCTGGAGGTTACCATCAACCAAAACGTCACACAGTTCCTGGGTCTCAACATCACCCAGTCCGCCACAACTATTCATCTCTCCGCCGCCAAATACGCTGAAATGCTCGCAAAGAAATTCGCCATAGCACCTATCAGCCTCTCTACCCCCTTTCGCACTCCTCCCCCTAACCACAAACCGGACACCATGCCACTCTCCCTCGAGAACCATCGGCTCTACCAGCAGCAGCTAGGGTGTCTCCTATTCGCCGTCGTTACGTGCTGGCCTGATCTCTCCTACGTCGCAAGCCAGCTCGCTCAGTACATGAAGCGACCTGAAGGGGAGAATCTACTGGATCTACGCCGAGCACTTCAATACTTCGTCTCAACTCTTGACGTCAGACTCACCTACAAAGCCAACCTCACCGCCACCTTGTAGCTGCATGGCTACGTAGACGCAGACCACGCGGGAGATATTGACAGCAGACGCTCTTGCACAGGATTCAATTTTCAACTCCAACATGCAGGACTTATTTTGTGGAACTCTCAGAAGCACTAACTCATCGCCCTTTCGTCAGCCGAAGCAGAGTTTATCGCCACCAGCGCAGCTGTTCGCGAAGGACTGTACATGATGGAGCTCCTACAGGAAGCAAAAGTGACAATAAACGGGCACTTCACGTTACTCTACGACAGCCAGAGCGCAATCAAGATCGTGAACAAGCCCGGCTTTGTGAACCGCACGAAACACATCGCCCTCCGCTAATTTTTCGTCAAGGAAATTGACAAAGAGAAAGTCAAGCTCATGTACTGTCCAACTAGTGACATGGAAGCCAATTTTCTGACAAAGAAACTACCACGTCAACAGTTCTAGCACTGCGCCAACCTCCGCGGGATCACCAAGAAGTCTCACGTGGCTCACCTTCAAGAATGAAGTGGAGTGTTGGAATAACCGAAAGGTTATTATAAGCATTCCCGAAGGCTTTCCCCTAACGCGTCAGTTTTTAAACAGAATAACGCACTGTACCAGTACCGCAATAGCTCATATATAGCACGCGAAAGGTCGAGAGTCACCCGAAGGTCAATAGTCGAAGACAGTCAATGGTCGTGACTCTTGACCGACCACTAACCGCACGACAGTTGATCGCTGCAACATGGTAACTGTCGAGAATAGCAATAGTCGTGGTTACTGTTAAGGGAATGTACCCCTCAAAGCACATGGCTAGCTAGTTCGCTATTTAAACCCTGTACTTCAATCTTATAATCATCTTGATCTCTTTCAACTTATTGACAAGGTCACTACCAAGACTTCATTGTCTTCCTTTATGTTGGGAACAAATAAGTTAAGCGCCTCTGTCGTGTCAGTACTCAAGACACAAAACGAAGCAGCTCAAGTCGAAGCAGCGCGAGTCAACCAACGAGGTTAACGTAACCGTCGGAGGTTACGGGAAAGTCAAAGGGCAGCGACCTTTGACCTGACGCAGCACGACAGCAAGGACAAACAACTGACTCGACATTGAGCTGTCGCCCGAGTCGCACTGTATCAAACCGCAACAGTAAAATTAGTTATAATGTCTCTTCATATTCTCTGTACTCATCTATTTATATTCTTGTATCTCTTTGCTTTTATCAACTTACTTTGCCCTCACATACTAGCGCAAGGTGGTTCAAGAGCTTTATTCAACGCTTCCGCTATTACAACATCTACTCAGACTTTAACTCTACAAAGATCCTAGGGCGTTTCAGCCCAACGTGGTATGAAAGCAGTTAGAGTTAAATTCATTATTCAACACTCAGTACATCAAAGAAGACATGTCTACTAGAAAGGAGAGGAGCTCCTCCAACGGCTCTCCCGGTACTACCCCTACTCCACCACCTGCCTCTGGCCTACTGACAGAGGAGGGGACAACGACGAGACCAGCAGCTGGGTCTACGGAAACACCCACAAACCAAGGCGCGGGCTTCGATCCAAGCATGATGGAGAAATTTTTCTCCTTCATGTCCTTCTACGAGCAGCACCAGCAAGGAGCACCTGCGCAATCAAACAACAGCAACAACAACAACAGCGTGACGCCTATGAGTCTCGATGGCTCATCCTACGCACGCGGGAATCAACATCAACAACCCACCTTTGCTCCGTACGAGCCCCAGCGTGGCTCCGTCAGCTTTATGCCGCAACCACAACCTGCACCGGGACAAGAGAGAGCACTGGACGCATTACAAGTTCAGTCGCAATTCGCGCACGTTTTAAAGCTGCAAACGACAAAGCCCTTTGACGGAAAAGACTTCTTCACCTGGTCTTTCGAATTCGAGCTGATGATAGAAGGAGCGCAAATCCTTGGCTTCTTCGACAGGTCCCTGCCATATCCAACAAATGGCACACAGTATGAGAAGCAGCAGTATACTTATCAATCAATGATGGCGTACACTATACTACTGAGGAACATTACCCCGACCCAACAGCAGAACATCAGGCCTTACCGAGGCTACGGCAACTCCGCGGAGCTCGCGTACAACCACCTGAAGAACCTGTATCAAGCAACAGACAGTGTGAACCAAAGCCGGTTAATGGCGCAGCTGACAACAATAGAAATGAAGCCAGGCGAGAAAGGCATGGAGTATATCAGCCGCTGCCGCGAGCTGCGCGACAGGCTCCTTCGATGTGGAGGTTCAATTTCAGAAGACGCCTTCGTCACGGTCGTCATCGGCGGTCTCGGCCCTCACTGGCGCTCCACTCGCGCCATATTACGAGCACACGGAAGAATCTCCGAAGCGGCACTCTGCGCTGAAATCCACGCCGAGCAGCAGGATATGGACCTACAAGAAGAACGACATAAGAAAAAGGCATCAGTACCAGAATTCGCCTTTCACACCCAGCGACGCTACAACAATAGCAACACTCGACAGCAACAACAACCGAAGCCAGTACCTCCTTTTTGCCATATCTGCAAGACTTCAGGACATCCTCGCACTCACTGCCCGTATCGTCATCAATCGACAGCACCACAGCGACAACTCCGACCTTCGAGCGGCCAAGTCACCTCGACGCAAGCAGCCCCAACAACTTCAGTCCAAGCTTCAACGACTCCAACAGGACAACCTGCGCAAAAACCAAGGAATATCGTCAACTGCATGGTAAAGATAACCGACTCCTGCACAACCGAGTCACCACCGTACTACTCACCCGAAGAACAACTTGACAACAGCACGCCTCGCCGCGAGTCTCTTCAACCGAATCCGACGTACACCGCCATTGCTCAAAGTGAACCATCCGGGAAAGATACTTGGTTCTTGGACAGTTGCTGCGGACAACACATGTGCTCTTCGGGATGCTTCGTCCAACGCGAACATCGACTTCAACGAGAGGTCGTCATCACAGTTGCCAACAATCAGAACCTGCGCACACGACGACAAGGAGTGGTACAGCTTCAGTCCAGGGAGACTAATGTTATACTACACATGTCAAAGGTACTAATAGCAGAAGGACTCGGCTACAACTTACTGAGCGTCAGCCAGTTGATGGCGAAGGGCATCCACCTGGAAGCCGACAGCACCACCCAGGAATTTAAATTATATCACGGGAAAGGCGGCCTTTACATCGGGAAGGCAGTTCTGAAGAACAACGTCTTCGTCCTGGATTTCGTCCCAGACCTGGGCACCGCAGATTGCGACGCTATTGTTAACTTCACGGACTGGACGCACCCTCCAGATCTTGATCCAGACTTCAGCCCAGAATGCTTCTGGTACTCCCATACTATCCCTGAAGCAGAACGAACACGCGCATTAGCAACAATACAACACTCGACAGCAGCAGAGACAACATCGACAGCAGCAGAGACATCGTCGGCAGCAGCAGAGACATCATCGGCAGCAGCAGAAACAACAACGACAGCAGCAGAGACATCATCGGCAGCAGCAGAGACAACATCGGCAGCAGCAGCAGGAACAACGACACCAGTCCTCGTCGACGAAGAACCACCAACACCCGCACAGCAGTTGAAACCAACTCCACGAGAAGCCCACAGAAGCGCAAACTTCGTCGCCAGCTTCTACTCCAACTCCGACACGTATCGACGATCACCCGGACATCGCGCCTCCGAAGAAACCTGGCACGCACGATTGGGACATCCAAGCAACACAGTCTTAAACAACACGATAAGAGCAGGAGTTCTCGACAAAGACTCCCTACTACTACCCGACGGCAAAGAACTTCAAAAGGCACGAGGGACTTGTCTTACCTGCCCCGAAGCTGACTTACCACATCGACCGTTCGCTCCTCATCACAACCCGAGCGCACCGGCGTACGCACCACTCGAGAAGGTGTACAGCGACATCCTCTACAATCGCGAACCAGGACAAGTCGCCTACAACTATACGATTACCTTCATCGACGCCGCCACTCGATATGTCTGGCATCTAAACCTACCAAGCCGCGACATGGCACTCGCAGCGTTCGCCGCCTGGCTACCAGTAGCAGAACGAGAGTCAGGAGCACAGCTGAAAAGCTTCCAGTCAGACGGAGGAGGAGAATACACCTCTCAGCGCTTCAAGCAGTACCTGGCTGAAAGAGGAATCAAGCAACTCCTCTCCCTTCCCTACGCCCATCAGTAGCAAGGTGTCGCAGAACGAATGAACAGGACTCTGCAGAACAGCATGCGCAAACTGTTACGTGGCATGCGGCTACCCAACCACCAGTGGCCTGCAGCAATGGACCACGCTGTCATGCTGCACAACTTGATGTCGTCGTCCTCACTCCCGAACAACGCATCACCGCATCTGCTGTGGACAGGGAAGCAGGGCAGCACAAAAATGTTACGAGTTTTTGGGTGCATGGTACAGTACCGACCCCCTGAGGCACGAGCGGGAAGATTTTCACAACGCGCACAGTGGGGACTACACCTCGGCATCAAAAAGAATTACAACGCGTGGAAAATCTTTGACGTCCACTCAAAAGAAACAGTAGCAGCACGTGATGTGATCTTCTACGAACGCCTCACCCTTCAGACGTACCTCGCCAACTTGCACGAGAATCAGGACCCCACAGGTGGCTTTCGTGGTGACCGAGCATTCGCCTCAGCAGCAGACGAAGCAGACTAGGACGAGCAGAATGTCGACAACGCATCTGAAGAAGCCAGACCTCTCCCTATCTGCTCCGTCAACGTCCCCATGGACGAAGAAAATCCTCGCGAAAGTGCCAACGCCGAAGTCTTCTATCACTTCGCCGACAATGGTTACGTAACACTTGCAACAGCCAACACCAACGAAGCAGAAAGAGTAGGACCGAATTTCATACCCGACCCAGAAGCGGGAGATGAAGCAGCTTATCCCGAGGACACAACACTCCCCCGCTACTCACAGACCGGACTGCAGATTCTCGGCCTCGTCACTGCAGTCCATGGCTCCTCTCTTCCTAAAGAGCCTGCGACAGTTCAACAGGCTCTGGGGGGGGAACACAAGGAGAAATGGCGTGAAGCCATGGACAGAGAGTTAAAAGCATTGGAGGAACACAACACCTGGAAATTTGTTCCAGCAAGCATAGCAAGAAACAAGACCATTCTTACCGGGAAGTGGGTCTTCCGCATCAAAACGAAAGCAGATGGCACAATCGAGAAGTTCAAGGCACGATGGGTCGTGCGAGGATTTGATCAGGAACAAGGCCGGGACTTCACCGAGACATTCGCCCCGGTTAGCCGACACACCTCTCTCCGAATCCTCCTTGCGATCGCCACCATGAAGAAGAAGAAACTGCGACAAATCGATGTCGCTAACGCTTTCCTCTACGCACCCGTCGACGCCAAAATCTTCGTCGAGCTCCCTCACGGTACTCACGGGGAACCCAATCAGGTCTATCAACTACTAAAATCGCTTTACAGTATCAAACAGGCCCCACGACTGTGGCAACAGCACCTACACACCCGCCTCAACCGCATCGGATTCCGTCAACTACCTCACGATCAAGGCATGTATCGACTCACCAAAGGCGCCAACTACAATCCTGCTCATTGTCTACGTCGACGATCTACTCTACATCAGCTCTACCGACGACATCGCTACCTGGTTCGAAGGGGAGCTGAAAAAGGACCTCACACTCATGGTCTCCACTACCGTCACTCAGTATCTCGGGCTCAACATTCGCGAAGAAGAAAATGCGATCTATCTCAGCGCCGAGAAGTACGCCGACACCATCGCCAAACGGTTCGCACTCACACCTGCTACTACCCACACGCCATACCGCTACACGGCAGGAAACGGCAAAGGAAGCTCCGTCCTACTTAAGACCGCCGGAATACGCGACTACCAGCGAAAACTGGGCTGTCTGCTCTTCGCAGCCGTCACCTGCCGCCCAGACCTGTCCTACTCCGCTAGCCAACTCGCTACCTATCTCAAGAGGCCCGAAGCAGAACACCTAGCAGAACTCGACCGTGCTCTTCACTACTTCGTGAGCACCGCAACGATCGGCCTGACGTACTACAAAGACACAACTACGCCGACGAAACTAATCGGCTATGTCGATGCCGATCACGCCGGCGACTCAGATAACAGGCGCTCTCGCACTGGCTACATCTATCGCCTAGAACCTATCGGACCTATTTCCTGGCAATCGAGCAAGCAGGAACTAATTGCGCTCTCCTCAGCTGAAGCAGAATATATCGCCCTCTGCTCAGCCACCAAGGAAGGACTCTACCTTCGCGAGCTGCTGGAAGAAGCAAAGCTAGCCGAGTTACCCAACTTCACCTTGTTCTGCGACAACCAATCCGCAATTCGCATCGCCAACAACAGCGGATTCGCGAACTGAACGAAGCATATCGCCCTGCGATACTTCTTCGTGAAAGACGAAATCGAGAAAGGGAAACTCGATCTATCCTACTGTCCCACGTCCGAGATGGCAGCCGACTACTCAACCAAGAAACTTGGAAAACAGAAGTTCAAGTACTGCATGCTGCTGACTGGACAAAGCCACGTCACCATCAGCGACACTCCAGAAGCGAAGGGGAGTGTTGGGAACAAATAAGTTAAGCGCCTCTGTCGTGTCAGTACTCAAGACACAAAACGAAGCAGCTCAAGTCGAAGCAGCGCGAGTCAACCAACGAGGTTAACGTAAGCGTCGGAGGTTACGGGAAAGTCAAAGGGCAGCGACCTTTGACCTGACGCAGCGCGACAGCAAGGACAAACAACTGACTCGACATTGAGCAGTTGCCCGAGTCGCACTGTATCGAACCGCAACAGTAAAATTAGTTATAATGTCTCTTCATATTCTCTGTACTCATCTATTTATATTCTTGTATCTCTTTGCTTTTATCAACTTACTTTGCCCTCACATACTAGCGCAAGGTGGTTCAAGAGCTTTATTCAACGCTTCCGCTATTACAACATCTACTCAGACTTTAACTCTACAAAGATCCTAGGGCGTTTCAGCCAGGCCCTACGAAGTCAGACTTTTTTCTCTGATTTGCACAAAAAACTCTGATATTTCAGACTTTTTTTCCAGTGTTCTCTGTTAAAATCAGACTTTTTTGGGCCCAAACTCTGTAATTTTCAGACTTTTTTTAAGGCTAACTCTTAGAGTTCAGAGTTTTATGAGAGTGTACTCTGATCATTCAGAGTACAAACGCGTCCTTGACTGGTGATTTGGACTTACGGGTCACAACAGATTCGCAATGTCGACGCAAAATCGCCTTGACACAGCAAATCCGAGCCTTACAGCACAAGATTTTCGCCCAATCATAGAAAAATCGCCCTGACACAACAGATTTGCGCTGTCAAAGCACAACACTTTTCGACCAATCACAGAAAACTCGCCCTGACATTGCAGATTCGCTCTTTCGCACCACAAGATTCGCCCTGACACATATATTCGCCCTGTCATAGCATGTTTTATCGGAAATCCCCTTAGTGTTGCGTGTTTCGGTAGCAGATGAATGAAACATTGATTACATTCCGATGAAACATTGAATACATTGTTTTTGAATGATCAGACTTTTTTTTTAGGACACTCTGAAATTTCAGCCTTTTTTTTATACCAACTCTGAGATTTTCAGACTAAAATTGTGTACTAGTCTGACGAATCAGACAGGCCAAAAACGAATCTGAGGGCCTGGTTTCAGCCCAACACTTTAGACTTGATAGACTTATCTTATCCACTACGATCCTTCAATCATAACATCATTGAGATCCACCCTGAGCTTTGCTTTGTTTTGCTTCTTTGCTTGACTGGCCTTGTGACTGTTGGATGTTCTTGCTAACCCCCACTTTGCCTATGGGGGTGTGTCAAAATGCATACATTGTTGTGTAGGCTGTAGTGGGGTATTTATTGAAGATTACAACCCTTTTAGGGTTTCCCCTTTTGTACTCCCCATGCCTGCTAGTGAAATCATTCATGCCTCACTCTGACATGTATAACTACAAATGACCTGTTTAGCGTACAACGCTATGTTGGTCTTCAACTGGGGGGGTCTTTTATCCGGATTCTTTTAGCATACGTACCTACTACCTATCTTCAGACCATATTACTCACTACCAGTTTTCCCTCATGGGGCGAGTTCCATTTAAGAGGGCCATGTCAAAGTCCCTTGTCTGATAATATGAAAACAGGGGGAAAACGCAGAACGGTCCGTACACCCTAAGGATGACGTTTTCAGAAAACCTCTAGGAAATCATGTTATGGTACGTGTATTGTATTTCAACGTCTGCCGTGGACCTGTTCTGGAGGTGAAGATGCAGCAGTGAGGGGGAGGTTGCCTTTGTGTGGCTTGCAGAGCGAGCGACATCATCCATGTGAACGGCAGGTGACGGGCACTGCCATGCATGAGAAAGACGGCAGGTGACGGGCACTGCCATGCATGAGAAAAACGGCAGGTGACGGGCACTGCCATGCATGAGAAAGACGGCAGGTGACGGGCACTGCCATGCATGAGAAAGACGGCAGGTGACGGGCACTGCCATGCATGAGAAAGACGGCAGGTGACGGGCACTGCCATGCATGAGAAAGACGGCAGGTGACAGGCATTGCCATGCATGAGAAAGACGGCAGGTGACGGGCACTGCCATGCATGAGAAAGACGGCAGGTGAGAGGCAGTGAGTCAAGGTGCAGAGGCAAGTGCATGTGAGAGGAAGAGGCATGAGCATGATGCCAGAGCAAGGGTGGTTGATTGTCCATCCAGGCAATACCTCAGAGCAAGGGTGATTGCTGTGAGTGGCCATATGGTTCCACCACTTACCGCTACATGGACCTCGTTGCTTCCTGCCCCTCCTTCACCCTGCACAAGCTGCAGCTGCATATGCCTCGGCACACCACGCACTGCCACTTGGAATCAGCCAGAGCCTCCGAAATGCTCTCTCGGTACCTAAAAGTGCATGTGTAGGTGCGGCGGGGCAGCACATGGCATCGTCATCAATGCGTGACAATGTGTCTACGTAACAGCATGGCAACAAGTATGTGTGAGAAATGTGGCAATATCTGATAGTACGTAACAGTATGTGGTAAGATGTGCCAATACTTGAAACAAGTGGCCATAGTGGCAATCGGAGGCGATTCCAATCAGTAGAGGCAAGGTGGCAATGGAAGATATACGTTAAAGACTTGACTGTATCGGCAATTGTGGCAACATTTGATGCGCTGCATCGCAATGATGGAAAGGGCACCTGGAAAGGAGGCACTAGAGCGGCAAGGGTACCTGAAAAGGAGGCACTAGAGCGGCAAGGGTACCTGGAAAGGAGGCACTAGAGCGGCAAGGGTACCTGGAAAGGAGGCACTAGAGCGGCAAGGGTACCTGGAAAGGAGGCACTAGAGCGGCAAGGGTACCTGGAAAGGAGGCACTAGAGCGGCAAGGGTACCTGGAAAGGAGGCACTAGAGCGGCAAGGGTACCTGGAAAGGAGGCACTAGAGCGGCAAGGGTACCTGGAAAGGAGGCACTAGAGCGGCAAGGGTACCTGGAAAGGAGGCACTAGAGCGGCAAGGGTACCTGGAAAGGAGGCACTAGAGCGGCAAGGGTACCTGGAAAGGAGGCAGTCGGCGCAGACCTGGTTCCTCCCCGCCCGGCACGCCGTACAGCGTGTGGTGCGACCCGTTGTCATGGCTCTGATAGGTGCAGCGATGTGCGGGGGCCATGTGACGGGGGCATGTGACAGGGGCATGTGAGGGGACGTAAAAGAAAATAGCAGGGAGGGGTGATATAAGGAAGGGGGGCTCTACAAAGAGCATTGGGAAGGAAATATGGGGAAGCAGGATGGGGAGAGGCGATACAATGAAGAAGGCAGTGGAAGGGAGGAGCATGGCGAGGGGCGGCAGAGAGACGATGCTTGGATGTCCCGCTGCCATCTCCGTCCCACCACTGCCTCAGCCAGTCCTTCACCCCATTGACTCTCGTTTAACACAGCAATCCCTTCCCCCATCACCGCAAACAGCTTCTGCAGGCCGTCTGGTCGCATCTCTTGATTCCTGGCGAGCCCACCTGTTGTTTCAGTGAGCACTGGGTGCGGGCTCAGCGGCACGCTGCAGCTCAAGATGCTTGATGCCCGCAACTGCCAGCAAAGGAGCAGCCCTGGCCGCATGGTCCACAGCAGCAACACAACTTAGGCACTGCTACCAAGGAGACTCACGCTATGCCATATAATGCTTACCCTGCTTTCCATGACACGCATCTTCTTTCTCCCAATGCAAACGGCTTTGATGCCGCGTGCCTAATCTTCCTCGTGGTCACGCTGAGCTGAGCTTTGCTCCACTCAACGCTCTTCCCATTCGCATCCCCTCCGCGTTCACCACAGCCAGGCTCCCCTACGCGGACAAGTGACTGTGGACAGGCTTTGAAGAATGTTCCGCCGCCACACCAAGGTTGTCAACACCCTCGTTTGCAGCACACTCACCTGCACTGGTGGCAGTAGCGCCACGTGCGGCTGTCTCTCAAGCGGAAGCCGTGCTCATCGCACCCCTCCCTGCGCTGCTCATCGCACCCCTCCCTGCGCTGCTCATCGCACCCCTCCCTGCGCTGCTCATCGCACCCCTCCCTGCGCTGCTCATCGCACCCCTCCCTGCGCTGCTCATCGCACCCCTCCCTGCGCTTCTCCCACGCGCCCACAGCCCCTTGAGGCCCGGCCTCATCGTCCACTGTGTGCCGCACATGCATGGCTTCTTCATGCCTGTGCTGCATGAAGCCGCCACCACCATCACCACCACCAGCCCCATCGTCCTCCATGCTCTTTTCCCTGTGCCGCGCCTCACCCTCCCCTCCCTGTGCCTCCCTTCCCTGTGCCTCCCCTCTCTGTGACTTCCCCCCTGCTTGCGGCACCACAGTCTCTCCATTGGAAACGAAATCCCTCGGCGCCCACAGCAGCCTACCATTGCCTTTCCCCCCCTCGTTTCCTCCCTCTCTTGAACTCTGCCCTTCCCCTCGTGTACTTTGGTCCCCCTTAGTCACCGCGCCCACCGCCTGCCAGGGCAGCATGCGGGCGCCAGCGGCAGTGAGGAAGGGCCGCGAGGCCCACACCACCGCACATTCGCGCCCCTTGCCCTCCCTCCCCGCCTCCCTGCCTGCCCCGCCTGGCCCCCTCTCAGGGCTGCACCGTCCCTCCCCGCCGTTGCTGCTGCCTGCCGCGCCCCTGCATGCGGCGCTGCTGGTGTCACCGCCGCCATCCTCCTCGCCATCTGCCCCACTGCACTCACGCTCATGCCCTCGCCTCTGCAACACCACCCGCACTTGCCTGTGCACAGCTGTTTGTTCTGCACTTCCCCCCACTCCACTGTGCTGCACCGTGCCGTGCCGCACTGCCACCTCCACTATCCCCACCGCACCCCAGAGGAACGGCTTGGGAACCCACACCAGCCCCTCACTGCCTGCCCGCCCTTCCTTGTCCTCCTCTCCTTTCTCTGCGCCTCTCCCCTGCTGCTCTCTCCACCTAAGCTGCTCCCCTTCGCCACCCTCTCCCCCCTTGCCCACCACCATCCCCCTCGCCTCCCCCCCCTGCTGCCATGCCGTCGCCACGCGGCACAGGAACGGCCTGGCCCTCCACCCCACCGCCACGCCGCCGCTGTCATCCGCCACCTCCCTCCGCGTGCCGCCTGCTGCTCGCCTCTCTGCCCCTCCCCCACCGCACTCCTCCCACTTGCACTGCTGCACTCGCCCCCTCCCTGCAACCTCCTCGCTCCCTTCACCCGCCTCTCCCCGCTCCCGCTGCCCCCACAGCTGCTGCACAGCACTGCCCCCGCCAGGGAAGAAGCGCCGTGGCACCCACACCAGCACACCCGCGCCCTCCTTGCCACCGCCGCCCCCCTCGCTGCTGCCACCTCCCGGCCCCCCAGTGCTGCCGCGTGGGCTGCCGCCACCGCCATGGCGGGCGTGCAGTGCGCCGCGTGCACCCACTGCAGCGCCGGGGGCGGGCGGCCTGGCGGGCGTGGCGGGTGCGAGGGGGCGGCGCGTCTCACAGTAGTCCACTCGCCCCACGGCCCTGGTGGCAGGGGGAGGCGGGCAAGACAAGCAGCGGTAGGGGGGCAGGTGAGGATAAAAGTGGGACGAGAGGGCATGAGGGGCGAGAGGGCATGAGGGATGATGGAGGGAGCAGCGATGGGGCAGCAATGGGAGGCCATGGCATTCCTTCCCTCATGCAGCCACGCGGCCAACTGCCACCGCCGCTCCTTCCCTCCTCCCGACTCGCCACCTCACAAATGCCGGGCATCCATCAGCGCGGTACCTCGCTTGTCCCCCACCCGCCTCAAAGTCCCTGCGCGCCTCATCCCTCCCGCGCGCCTCATCCCTCATGCGCTCCTCATAACCCCCCCGCGCCTCTGTCACTACCTGCTGGACCGCCGCCGTAAACCGACGGTCTCCACGGGTGACGTAAGCGCTGACGTCTTTTGCCGTTTCGCCAACGTGTGCTGCTGCCGTGCGGCCCGCTTCAGCTCGTCCGCTTCCATCCGCAGCTCCGCCACCAGTCGCTGCGTCTCACGCACCTTCGCCAGTCGCCGCGCCTCGTACGCCGTCGCAGGCGCCGCACACGACGTACCGGCGACAGCGGAGTCGCTGTCAGTCGTAAACGTTGACTCCTGTCGCATGTCGCCGTGACTCGCATCAGTCGCAGCTGGTCGCGCGTCGCTCGATTCGCTGGAATCGCTCGAGCGGCTCGAGCCGCTCGAATCGCTCGAGTACGAATGGGCGGAGTGGATCTGTTCCGCATCGGGAATGATTGGAATCGCAGCGCTGACACTTGCTGCGGCCATGGCGGGTGGACTCGTGACGCCGACGGCTGCGGGAATGGCAGCGCGAATTCACTGGTGGCCTGACGAAAGCGGAGTGAAGCACTAACCAGCTAGGCAAGCACTAACCGCCCATGTGTTGTTCCATCCTAGCTTGCTGATTAGGTGCGAATTTGCAGCAGACTGGACACAGCACGGGTTCTTAGGACCATAGGCGGGACCCTGGAAATCCCTGACCCGTTATTGTTCGACTCTTCACATCGCAGTCCGTGATTTTTTTTTTGTTGGATGTACAATTATTATTAAACATAGGTACATCCGCAGGCGTATGGTAACTGTAGGCTTGGGAGGCGTGAGCCCCGCTAACAAGGCAGTGCCTATCCCCCCTATACCATCTACGGGGGCTGATAAATTGTCCTCGGGATTCGCCAGATGGACATTGTTGGAGTAATTGAAGGTTTGTCCTTTGAGTTCGAGCATATGATGGAGGGCGCCCAAATCCTTGACTTCTTCGACGGTTCCCTGCCATATCCAACGCACGGGACACAGTACGACAAGCAGCAATACACATATCAGTCACTCATGGCATACATTATACTCCTACGAGCAGTAGAACATCCGATCTTATCGCGGATACGGTAACTCCGCCGAGCTCGCGTTCAACCACCTGAAGAACCTATATCAAGCAACCGACAGCGTCAATCAAAGTCGTCTCATGGCGCAATTGACAGCGATTCAAACGCAACCGGGCGAAAAGGGGATGGCATATATCAGTCGCTGTTGCGGTCTGCGCGATAGACTCCTTCGATGCGGCGGATCAATATCCAAAGAAGCTTTCGTCACTATCGTTATCACAGGCCTCGGTCCTCAGTGGCGCTCCACTCGAGCTACCGTCATACCCCGGATATAAGCGCCACCCGCGGATAAGCGCCTGGCGCTTTTAATTGGCGTGTGGCGCTTATCTCCGGTGCTCTATTATACCTAAAAGGCTTACGGATTATAACCGCATACCACCTGTGCCTTACACTTTATAACCGCCACCCGGTTCTTTTTTGTTTTTTTTCCATTTTAAGAATTTTTACATAATTAATCTACTAAAACATCATCTTAATTAATCTACAATTAGTTGATCTACTCCTACCTACGAGCCTCACATAGGCTTCACCATTTTCTACACATCTACCCTACTCTAATCATCAGTTGCAGTGGGGTCATCTGGGTCGGCCTCAGAGTCTGACTAAGGTTCCTCTACGTTGTTGCCGAGAAATCGTCTGCTGCAATTTCATCATCCATGTCGACCTCCTCGCCCTCGAGCTCGTCTCGCCTGTGTTGCAGGCAGAGCTTGTCCTGGGACCCATCCAGGGCATTGCTGATGCCGCAGGTGAGGAACGCCCGTTGAATGAGCTCCTTGGGCACGGACTTCCATGCCGCCGAGATCCACTTGAGCGTCAGCTCAACAGGAGGCTTCTTGATGTTGCCTGCCATGCAAATCCAGAAACCGGGTCAGCACGGGATAAAGAAATAAAAACATTAACAGAAAGGCTGCACCTCTCACCTTTCTTCGTCAAGGTGTCGACCCCCTCACGCTCAAACCACTCCTGGTAGAGCTGGCGAACGGCGACCTTGAAGGAGCGGTTAACCGCGACGTCGAGGGGTTGAATCTCCGAAGTGCAGCCAGCAGGGATAACTGCAGGGACCAGGTTCAGCTCGCCAAACTTCTTCTTCACCTCCGAGGTCAGGTGCCCTCGGTACGAATCGAGGACGAGCAGAGCTTTGCGGGGGCGGACTCCGAACTTGGGGTTGATGTACGGCTTCATCGCCCCGTCCAGCCACTCGATGACACCGTCCGCGTCCATCCAACCATTGAGATGGACCCCCACGTGGATATCTGCACAGCAACAAAACCACGATGTTAGTTTAATTTTTTAACTGACATCAACATGCCACCGCGTAATCGACGTGTGGTGCATACCTGAAGGAAAATCTCCTTTGGGGACGGTCTTCCTTTTGAAGAAGACCCACGGCTTCAACTTCTCCCCGCTGGCGATGCAGGCGAGCATCACTGTAACCCGCTCTTTCTGGTAGCCGCCGCTGCGGACAGGCACGGAGCGCGAGCCAACCTCTTCAACGGTGTGTTAGGATGGCATCTCGAGCTAGAGGGGCGTCTGGTCCGCGTTTAGAATCCACGGCAGGTCGATCTTGTACTGGCGGCAGGAGTGACGCACGTACGTCCGGAAGTTCTTGATATCGGTCTTGCAGTCTGGGACACGGGATGGGAGGAACAGAAAGCACAAACACAGAGTGAGAGCTGTGAATAGACGGGAACAGACAAACAACAATACCACCAAATAACAACTCACTGGACGAGAGCTTCTGGCCGACCCGGGTCTTCGCTCTAGTCGTCAGGTTCCAGCTGCGGCGAAAGCGCTGAGTCCACCGCTAAGAGTCGGCCCACTTTTCACCTGGGTGTAACTCTTTTATCACCTCGTGCGACCACTTCTGCAGTCGTGCGATCGAGATGGCGAGGCACTTCTTACGGTGGACGAGAAACCTCCGGTACATCTCCGCTTCCATATCGCGATACCACGAGCTCCTTCCACGGCCGTGCAGGCGATAGCGTGCACCGTGCACGCCCTCAAGCTCAGCCTTGCGGTTCTTCCACTCCATGAGGCACCTTCAGGAGATGCCGGATTCACGAGACATGCGCCGCACACTCATCTCTCCGGTTTCGAGCTTCAGAATCCATTGCAGCTTCTCATGCGAGGTGTAGGAATTGCGCATGTGCTTTGTCGGCTTGTGCCTGGGGGAGGGAGGACGGGCATCACGATTATCGCGAGATGGGTGGGGCCTCTTTTTATTTGGAGGGGGAAAGGAGGGAATTCGAAGGTGCTCGGGGAGACCGTCAGCAGCCCAGAATTCCACGTCGTCGGCCGCACCGGTAGCGGATTCGTCCAACGGGCAATCAGCCGGCGCTCCCCATCGTGGCTCCGGTGCGGAGGAAGATCCTTTGCCGCCGCTGCGTTCAGGCTCGGACAGGAAGGCGTCGAACGCCGAGTAGCCAGGGGGGAGGAGAAGCTGCAGAACCCCTTGTCGCGGAACACCAATAGCAGGCGGGTCAGGAGGGGCCGGAGGAACGGGAGGAATAGGAGGCGCCGGGGGAGCGGGAGGGGTAGGAGGCTTAGGAGGCGTGGGAGGAACGGGAGGCACTACTGGTTGTGATGGAGGGACGGGCGCAGGTGATAAGAAACGAGAATGGGAAAAGGTGGTGTTCACTATAGCACTAGGGTACATATAGTAAACAGAGCATGCAAAGAAGGTGCACCACCAACAGTTTATAATAACTACACTAAACTACAGCTACAGGCAGTTACATATAAATTCTAACACTCCCCCATAACTGCCTGCAGCAGGAGTTTGTGCAGAACACAACCTGCAGGGGTATACCAGCAACAGCAACAGCAGGTACGGTAACAGAGCAGGTACAGCAGCAAAGGGACAGGCGACAGCAAGAAATTCCTGCCACCCCCTTACTCTCTTCCCCCCCCAACCACAGGAGGGGCAGCAGGGAGAGTGAGGAGGCGGGCTGGCTCTGGCTGGTCACCCCCTCCATCTCCTCACCCTCCCCCTCCCCCTCCCCCTCCCCCCCACACTGCTGCAGGAGCAGCAGAGGGGGGAAGAGAGGAGAGGTGGAGGGACGGCTGCTGGTTGGTCTCACACCCGCCACCCCAGTGCCACTCCCCCGGCTCCCCCACACCCTCACACCCTCCCCCCTAGCGGCAGCTGCAGCAGTGGGAACGAAATGAGGAGGAGGGGAAGGGAAGCACACCACCCATCACCCCAACACCCGCCACCCCCATACCCTCCCCCCCACGGCTGCAGGGAGACGAAGGAGGAGGGGGTGGGCGGGGAGAAAGCCGCAGAGCGGCTACAGAGGGTCGGCGCGGGTAGGTCAGGGGCGGCTGCAGTGAGTGCAGGCGCGGGGTGAGGCAAAGGCGGCTGCACCGAGTGCAGGAGCGGGGGCAGCTGCTCCAAGGGCAGGCGCCGGGTGGTGCAGGGGCGGCTGCAACGAGTGCAGGCGCGGGTGAGGCAGGGGCACCGCCGAGTGCGCCAGGGGTGGGTACGCGGCGGCTCAAGTCACCGTCGCAGGCGCCAGGGGCGGTTCCGCGGCGGCTCAGGGCACCGTCGCGCACCACGGGGCACGTGACGGGCAGTTTAGGGCACCATCGCATGCCACGGGGCGTACGACGGGCAGGGCACCGTCGCGTGCCACGGGGCGCATGACGGGCAGGGCACCGTCGCGTGCCACGGGGCGCACGACGGGCAGGTTTAGGGCACCGTCGTGTGCCACGGGGCGCACGATGGGCAGGGCACCGTCGCGTGCCACGGGGCGCGCGACGGGCAGAAAAGGTGTCACTCGCCACCCGGGGGCGGGACAGGACGAAAATCGCCACGCGCCCGAGGCGCGCGACCGGAAAAACAGCAGGGGAAGCGTGAGGCGGGCCCACAGGCCTGGACTTAACAGTCTCTGATTCCATGTTGAGTTACTAAGTAAGAGTAAGCTTAGGTTTTAGGTAGGACCTAGGCTTAGTAGCCTAGGCCTAGGAGAAGTCGAGGAGGTTGTGCCAAGGTTGTCAGAATCCCAACCACTAGACCATTGGGATAAAAGGGCTTTGTTTCAGTAGCGGGTCAGTGCGCCCATAACCCCCCAGGCGAACGCGCCTGTAACCCTCTCCAGGATCAATCGGGCATCCACAGTGCAGATCTACTGACACCCCCCCACACTGGGAGGCCCAGGACTAAGCACAGCGGCACCGGCCTACATGTGCATACACCGGGAATCGAACCCGAGACCGCTCTGA